ACAACATGAATGTGATATTTTAGGTCGCCCTGTCTTAATTTAATGGCGATCACCAGTGGATCATACTCTATCGCTAAATAAATTAGGATGGGGTATGCATACGAAGATAGGTTAGGTTGTCACACTGGCCACTCTCATCGCCATCAATTAGCCACATTTGTTGCAGTGTTGGAAGTTATTTATATAACAATAACAATGTGTAAAAAAATTAGACGACTGCATGTGCATGAAGATTTCAGAATCCCGAATTGATTGTTATGAGTGGAGTCATAATAAGATGCCACTAATAGTTTATGTTACCGGTTTGCATTATCAATGATAATATTAGGCCTGTGAAAATTGGTGAAAGATTAGAAAAGAATACAGGGGTATCTTTTGTTACACGATTAACAGATGCAGTGAGTAAAGCATTTCTCTACATATGAAATGTATCTGTTTATTTACTATACCTATAGCTACAGGTAAACAATGAACATCTGTGCTTCTAAACAGCAAATGATTACTCTAGTACATACATGCTACCATAGTAGAGGTGGGGGTCGTATCTCAATGTCATTCAGTGCACATTACTTTTAATGAGTAAAATATGATTCAATAATATATATATATTTTAGGTATTAACTGAAAGTGCATTATCAATGACTTTTTGTGCTAAAACTTTGTTGTTAGATATATTTTATCCTAATAGATAGATAGATAGATTTTATTACATAAAACACCCTTTTCAGACAGCATGTAAATTATACATTACTGTATGCATGATAAATACATTAAGAAAAATGGATGAAAAATACATAAAAAGTGGATGAAAAACATAAAAAGAATCGATGAAAAATATATAAAAAGTGGATGAAAATTTCTTATCACTCGGCATCCCCATGGAAACCACTACTGACGTATCACAGCAGTATGGCCGTCGACCAACCTAGTTACAGATTTGGAAATCTAATGTTACCCGTGAAAAGCCTGTTTGTTTTTTTAGAACGAATATTTTCCATCACATATTATAATATCACGCTACTAACACATTCCATCATACTGTATGTATATAATTAACAGTTCTTATATATAAAGGTCACCATCATCTATCATATCCAATGCAGTACAGCCAGATACCTGATATACTTACCTAGCTTAATTACCATGAGCAAAAGACACAGAGCTCCTGTTTTTGGCGCGAAGCTTGGACAGAGTTGTCTCGGCAATATCTAATCTTTCTTCAGCGTCATCTAATTCATTCTGTGCTTTTCTGTATTTAGCCAAATTAACAGCAGCTACTTCTTCCTGATTAACAGTAGAAGAGACATAGTTATTAATAATTCAACCACTTTTTGTCAAATTTAATGTAGGGGACAATTTCAGGGTCAAAAGTAAAGCAAAGGATATTCGACTAGTTTGTTCATTTTTGAACAACGGAAAATAACCGAAAACATCATAAGGGTTGGCCCAAAATACGAAAGGAAATGCATCTCGTCGAACTTCTGAAATGGCTGCCAATGGAAATATCGATTACATTGTGTTTTGTATCATTACTTACTTATGATTTGTAATTCTCGCTAGGAAGTTATGACGCCATGTTGGATACTCAAGAAACAAGAGGAACTGATTATCTGTGTCGATAAGAACCCAAACATTTAACATTTTGGATACATGAAGCCTACAGTGTACGTACAGAGTAGAGACTGGGACTTGGATGCTTTTTTAGCTTTATATTAAGTAATGCCTTCGTAGTTTATACGGTTAGGTCAGATATATTTACAGATTCGTGAAATTTTTGTGATACAGATTATTAGAACACTCACAGCCTCTTCTAACTGTTTCTTGAAGACACGAATCTTATCATTAAGCTTCTCAATAGCTTCTTGAAGGCGTTCGTGGGATTTCTTGTCTTCTTCAGCCAGGAAAATAACTTCCTTCAAACGTCGTTCTGTCTTCCTGTTATTTTTATCCGTCTCAGCATGACGACGTTTTTCTTGCTCAAGGTCTCTCTCCAATTCTTGTATTTTGTGTTCGAATTTCTGGGCAACTTTTCTGCTCTCCTTTTCTGTCATGGCTTCTGCCTCCTCTAATCTAACCTGAAGATCCTTGTTCGAATTTTCCAGACTAATACGGGCATACTCTGCCTTTATTGTGTGATCTTTTTCGCGTTTCAATTCCTCTGACAATCGATTACACTCTTCTTCTGACTTCCTCCATTTTGATTCGTATTCTGCTATTTCACTAGACACCTCCTCTAAATCTACAGACATTGCTTCGATGTCATTTTCTAATTTTCTCTTCTGAAGCTGCGCCGAGTTACAGTTAGCTACAGCTTCATTAATTTGACCTTTGACCTCTTCGAGTTCACTCTCAGCAGCCTTGCGATTTCGGTCAACCTGTAATGTATTAACAATCCTGCATGGTAATTTTTTTTTTAATATTTCAGAAGTAATCTATTTTAGGTAACCATTTTGTACAAATGTAGATTTTCTCTACGCCTATTTTTGAAACAAGAATTCTGCGCAAATCGGTTTAATTTTTAAGTACTATCTGCTGTACACGATACAGGAAGTGATCACATTAGCAATCTCTGGATTCTTTATTCAGATATCACAACGAAACATATATATTGGAGTCTGACTTGACTCTGTACTTTTATGTTACATTTTGAGGGGTGTTAAATACAAAAGTACAACACAAGTTTGATATCTGCGAAATATTGAAATGACGAGTTGGCTACAAATTAATACCTATACTTAACGGGTCCACGGAAAGGACATGAATTTTCACAGTTTTGCTGTGTTGGTATCCCCTGTTTTAATATTTAAACATTAAATTTCACCTGTTCAAGATTTATTCTCAAATCTTCTACTTCTTTACCAACCATAGTTAGCCGTTTCTCAAGCGTACCACACATTTCATTGGCTTGATCCTTCATTCGTCTTTCTTCTTCCAGCTTAGTTTGTAGTTCCTAATTATAAATAGAAATACCAATACTTTATTCTTGGTTTACTGTTACAGATTATTTAGATTTAGAGTGGCATCCTTGTCACTAATTTACGGATTCATTGTAAAGTATGGTGACTTGTCTTTAAATGTTGTTTTACAAGATCCAATCAATTTAATTGAGATATTTTAGCATACTTTATTCAGAATTATTAATAACTTAGATACACATACAAATAAGAGTAGGTTGCGAAAAGCAATGCGTGTGTCTTTAAGAAGCAAATAATATGAATATAATTTACACGCGACGTCTTAGAATTCGTTGTTGCATTGTTAAATGCTTGCAATATTGCTTATGTAAATCGTGGTTAGTCAAAAAAAAAAAAAAAATAAAAAAAAAACAAACAAAAAACCCCGGACACAGTAGAAAATTGAGGCACAGGATAGATAAAACGACTAGTGTTGGAAACACGTGCAAAATATAAAATCTTGATATAATCAAGGGGAAACAACTCTCATTAACGTCGATAACGTTTGAGTTCAGAATACAGTCTTTGAGACGTGGTGATCAAACTGCACAAATGAGCCAAATTACGTACATTTCTATGGGTTGTTGCCCTTGGTTATAGTTGTTATAGCTTATGACACACAGTTAGAAAACAGATACACAAAATGAACAACAACAAAACAAATACAACAACATCACATTGAGAAGGAATGGGGAGGACAGAAAATTGTCGGGTTTTCATTGAATCGAAGAGAAATTGGACTGGAACAAAAGTCGGATAGCTTGACTGTTTTGCCAATGGGTAGATAGAAAGGGGGAGTTGGCGGTTTGCAAAATCCCACTGGGGTTTCCTTATTCACAACAACTGTGTTAGAGATAAAATGGTGAATATTATGATACAAACCTAACTCACCTTCATCTCCTTATAAATAATAGCAATATATATTATATCAAAATATCAACTTAATTTATCACTTAAAATGTGTGTGAAATAAACACTTTCTGGTGCTCGAATAGCGTTATAAGAAGTGCGTAAAGACTACATTCTTACATGTGACAGGAGAGTATATTTTCACACAGGTGAATAATTGCGTTATACCCTATTGCTTTCAACTGCTTTCGAGGCATTAACCACCGAAGAGTTCCGATTTATTGTGATCTAATGTGATACTGGATATCATTCGAGCACCGGGAAAGTGTAAATCTTAAATCTATTAGTGGTCTTAGATGTGATCTATAAATTATTTATTACAGTTAAATTTTTTAACCTGGTGATTATTATTAAATTGTATAGAAATAGCAAAGTTATATCTATATCTATACTAGGGCTGGCTAGTACTGAGCACTGTGTATCTCGGGGGATCTCTACATATAGGCATGGCGGCTCCGAATTCCTTACTGCTTTATGCTTTCCACAATTTCCACCATAAAGATATTACAGTAATCAATAAATGTGAATTTGAACTAGATCACAAGCAAAATAAAACCAACAGATTGTAATTAGGTCATGTTAATTTGATACTTAAAGGTAGTCCAAGATCTTAACACTTGTTTTGTGCAACTGTTGTTGGTTAATAATTATAATGAAAGTGCAGAAACATACAAAAACGGAATTCTTAGTTTTTGAGGATATTGTCTAAAATAAAAATGTGCATGATTAAAAATGGGGTGGTGCACAGTCATTTGTGTAGAATTAGATAATTTGAAATAGTATTAAACATTTAAGTTAGATGTTTTAAAAGATATATTACTAAATGCCATTCAAATAATATATTATAGAAATAATAATATATAGAACAATTAATGAACTGTAGAATTATACAAAAAGGAGAAATGTAGTTTTGAAACAAGAAATCAGCTAAATTGAACGCATTCCCTTTGCAGAGCTATTTTCCTTTGTGATACGAAAAGGGAGTAGGCAAACAGAGATGATTACTCATCACTGTTTGGGTCTTACATAGCGAAAGCTTGATTATATAGATTAGGTCGCACATATTAAATCTAGTGCCATTATAAAGCAGCATAAATTATATCTACGATAACAATAATAGAATAGTATTTATTGATATTATAGATTGATATTTACCGTTACTTGTTGTTGGTATCGTCTCATGTTCTTCTCCATTTCACTTCGTTCGTGATTGGCATTATCTAACGATATCTCCAGTTCGTTAATGTCCTGTTCTAATTTCTTTTTAGATTTCACGGCCTCTGCTCTACCTTTGATCTCAGCATCCAGAGAGGCTTGCATGGATTCCATGTTAGTGGCATGATTACGTCTGCAAGAAAGGAATAGAGGTAAGTGGTTTGGATTGTTTATAAACTATATTTATAATTTGTAATAAAGGTAATTCATTTATTCAGTTTTGCCTGCGATCAGCATGGGCTAGGTACTGTTGATCGGCTAACTAACCTCTAGGAAATTGAGCGAGAACGTGTTACCTCCCTTTATTTTAATACGGTCGATTGGACAATTTCCTACTAGATCTATTTTCTAGCAATCTCTTTATTTTAACCAAAAATATGTTTTCATAAAATAGCACAGCACGGGTATGGCATTGGAAAATATTTTGACAAATCGCAATTTTTTTACACATGATCTCAGGAATATTCAGTAATTAATTTGGGCAATGTCATTAATATTTTAGATACGCTGAATAAATATATTTAAAATACAGATGTGACGTCATCCTTTGATGTTGGAGTACCATTATTTCAAATAATCGTACGGGCAATGTGCCAAGCGTAACTTGGTAAAATATTGAACTCGAGTGACGTATTTCATTGCAAAGCACGTGCAAGTGTCTGTATTTTAAGTTGTTTAATGGTCTCGAGCTTAAGACATTGCGTAATATATTGTAAAAACATTCGGGCCTCACGGCCCTCATGTTGTTACAATATATTACTTAATGTCTCGCTCTCGACCATTAAACAATACATATACATCTACGACACTTTTAAGAATCCGATGTTCTCCGCCTTATATGATAGGCATCTTGAGGATTTGATATTGTTAATAAATTCCTGGAAATACACACACACACACACTCACATACCTTGTATTTGTAAACTCTTCGTCCTTTTCACGAAGTCGTCTTTCAATTTCCTGTCTGGTTTCAGCTATTGTTAATTCCGCCCGGGTAACCTTGGCTGCCTCTTGTTCCATTTCGGATGCAGCTTCCTCTAAGGCAGCCTGTAATTCTTCCTTGTCGTTTTCAAGTCGTTTTATCGCCTTTTTGTACTCATGAATACTACGCCCAGCTTCAGTCACTTGATCTGTAAGATCGCGTATTTCGACTGAAATACACAAAGAAATTTGTAATACAGTTTGCTTTTGCACCTGTTACCTGTACAAAGCGTTTTCCCGGCCTTTTTAATTTTTCCTGGCTCTCCAGTTCCCATCACTGCCAAAAATCCTTACGTTTCAAGTGTTATTGGATTCCAAAGATCAATCGTCATGTAATAGTGTATCACAAAACCATGTGACCTATTTGAGTATTTATAAACTCACCTGATTGGTTATTTATGTCTTTTTTAAGTGATTCTATGGTGTCCTGAGCCTCGGTTTCTTTTGCTCTAGAGCGAATAAGGTCCGTTGAATAGGTGCTAATTTCCATCTGGGCGTTTTTAAGGTCCGCTTCCAGATTCTTGTATTTGACCTCCCAGTCCGTGACAATCTTATCATATCCACGCAGTTTCTTCTCGAAACTAGAGGCATTCGAATTGGCCTGAAGAAATAATTATTGGTGTTATAGTATTAAAACAGCCAGTAACCGATTCTTCTTTTAATTGAAATCCGACTGCTATTTTGGTTGGGATTGTCTATAAAAAGTCCGAAGAGTGGAAACTTATCACTGTTAGTACTAATTTGAATTTTCGTGGACTTTTCAAAATTAAGAAATACATTCAGACAATAAATACCCGTTCTATGTCCACTGTAAGATCTTCTACGTCACCCTGTAGTCTTGTTTTCACTTTCTCGAGATTGCTAATCATAGCGTTAGCTGCTTCCACATTTTGTTCAGCCTCTGTTAGTTTAGCTGAAAGCTTTCGCCTACAATAAAGTATAGATTTTAGTATAACATAATTTATTTCTCGAAATTCCACAACAGCGAACCCATAAAACAGACATAAAACTGCATTATAAAAAATTATAGAACACGATGACTATATTTATTGACATCTACTTGATGTACAAAATAACAGTAATTTAACCTTAAACCCGAATATCAATTTCTTTTATGATACATGAAACATAGGGTCTAAACTACTATTAAAATCGAGGGAATTCAAAGCGTCAAGCTGGTTTAGATGGGAAACAAGACAAAGGGATTACAGCTAGTATATATAATTATAACTACGGTACGCATACATGCAGTTCAAACCGCCTACATCTATTGAACAACCATCTATGCTATGTAAGTGCATGAAAGACAATTATTGCACTTGGAGGTATCGAAATATTTTAAAACAGAGATTTTAGAATGCCAGCAGCTTCAGGTCGTCTTCCTGGCACATGATTCGACCTGATTCTACAAGAGATCTCCAAAATCACCACAGGAAGTCCATGTGTATTTATAGGTTTTATATCATCATATTGATATTATGAACAAACTTTGGTTATTTGGTAGGCATATTAAAACATTGTTTCTGGGAAGGACTACACATACACACAGACAAACCACAACGAAATGAGAGCAACATTTACTTAGGAAGTGGCGTCCATGCCACAAGATTAACTGATCTTTCTTTTTGATTATCACTCCAACATTTTCTTCGTCTTCAAGATTTCATGTAGCAGGACAGCTGTGTCATGATATATAATTAGTAAAATAAATAATTGGAAACAAAAATATCGATAGCAAATAGATATAATCTCTATAAAGCAACATATAAAGCGTTAACGTATACAAAGAAAACAAAATTGAAGAAATAATACACGAAAAAAAACCCCCAAACAAAACAAATTACAACATTCAATATCGTAATGATTTGTTAACTGGTCTGCTTAAAGTGTGTATTATATTAATTTGAGAAGAGTTCGAACTTACTTGGCATCTTGAAGATCCTCTGTACGAGCTACGCCCTCCTCTTCGAATTTAGTACGCCATTGTTGAGCTTCTGCATTAGCCCTTGATAGATGCCTCTGAATTTCATTTTTACCTTCTTGCTCCCCCTCCAATTGTTCGCGAACTGTCGTTAGTTCCATCTGGATTTCACGAATCTCATTTTGGGCTCTTTGACGTTGCTTGGTTTCTTCTTCTAGTGACCGTCTCACGTCTTCTATCTGACTACTGAGACTTTCTCGTTCTTTTGTTAGAACGTTGACGCGGTTCTCTGCTTTCTCTAGCTTGGTTACCAGTTCTAAGTTTTCTAGTTGGAATTTATTTTTATTGGTTAAGTGTTCGTTGTTACTTCGATTTAATTCATCAATTTTACTGGTGAGCTCGCTGATCTGCAATTCATATTGTTTTTGCATCTTTTCGGACACGCCTTGCTGTAACAGAAAAACGCAAGTTATTGTTAGAATTGGATCAATCATTTTTGAAAGTTATCAAGTTTATAGTTCACAGTGGGCAAACGTAAAACAGAAAATAAATTCGAATGCTTGTAATTAATTTTGGAATTTCTTTCACAGGAAGCAAACGGCACAGTGGTTAGCGAATTGGGTCCCCACTCTAGCTGGAGGTGAAAATTCTTTTTACGTGTCGTTTTATTGAAACGTATCGAGTTTGGTAGGATAATAAAGGTAGATTTAATGGAGATCAATAATTATGTATGTTGCAGGGAAATGACTGTATTGAAATGTAAGTATCACAACACAAAACACATATACGTCTTTAGCCTACCTTTGTTTTAGTCACTTGACTTAGTTGAGCTGCAAATTCATCTGCTTCAAGTTTCGCCTGCTGTTTTTCTCTCTCTAACCTAAAAATATTTAAAAAGTTAAAATACGTATATTTTCATTGCCTCTTACATAGTAAAAATAACAATGAATCCGCAAAAAACCTTGCCAAATACTTGATTAAAATATGTTATCTTTCATTAACCGTTAAATCAGTATACTTTGAGGATTACATATAATGTTGATACCTGGTTTTTATTTTATGGAGCTGTTCAATTTGTTCTGATAGCTCCTTATTTGCATCTTGCGCCCTCCGTCGCAGGTTAGCCATCGCAGCTTCATTCTGCAGTTGATTGTTTTCTACGTCTCGTCTCAATTTTATCACTTCTTGCTCACGTCGTTTGTTCAAATCAACCAATGCATTCTTACTGGCGTTAAGGTCACCAATTTGTTCATTAAGCTCTTCGATTTCCCGACTAAGATCTACCATCTGTTTCTCTTTCTGTTAAGGAGTAAAAATAAATCCTTAAGTAAATAGTCACTTTTATAACTTTTCACAAATTCTGATGATAGTATTCAATTGGTCATGGTCTTGAAGAAAGTAACGATTGGTGACGCTACTAATCAAAGTGGTTTGTTGGAATACCACATGAATAATTGCGCTATTAGGAAGTGATGGTGATACTTTTCCGGGAGAGGGTGTGTGTGGGGGGTGGGTTGGGGTGATGCTAAATGTGAAGAAAGGTGCATGAATGGTGCTACTAGTTATGATGGTTAGGGAGGGAAAGTATGTGATGGTACAAGTTAGTGTTGTTAAGAAGGAAACATGGAGGACGTTAATGCTACCAGTGCGGAACACCAATGGGGCTAAGGATGGGGGATATAGATTTGATATTACTTGCCATGTCTGCTAGAAATTGTTTAATTACAGATAAAGGTAGTTTGGTTCAAAACAAAATGTGAATGATAGTATCACAAATGATAATTCTACCATCCGACAATTTTTTAAATTAAAAAGTGCGCTAGTTTTATTTTCTGTTCCATATGTGTTAATGATCCGATGAATATTTATAATTATTGTGGTAATATGCACCGACGTAAGAATGAGGTATAATACGATTCTGTATAATGTAATTTGTACAGACTCACTGATTAATTCTTACACTAAGAAGCACATCTTGAAATAGTGCCAAGGCTATAAAATAAAGCTAAAATAGGTCTGTGGCAATACTGCTGATAAAACGCGAGTATAAGTGAATGCTAGCATAACGTCTGGAATTCTTCCTCGCATATTGCAAGTTAAAGTGCCACCGCAGAACAGAAATAAGAAATATCAAAAACAAACTATTTGTACCTATGGGTAGAAGTAAGAGCCAAAGTATATATCTAGAATGTTTTGATTTAATGATCTGGAATTTGGGTATTTAAAAAGGAAATTATTTCTTCGAGATATCAAGTTCGATTTGAAAGCATGTAATCGAAACTTTCAATCTGGTTCATTATTAAAAAAAAAATATGTTGTGGGATACCCATTTCCCGTCCAGATATTCCACTAATGTTTAGATGACGTGGTAATATTGTTATTTTCTAAAGTTGACTGTAAGTAATTTTATGGCGTTAGGTAGCCCAAACTGACACTTTAAGCTTAGAATTGCAGTTTTATTCATAGCCGGAATAACACATTAAATCGAATGAAGTCAACACTTTTTTCGTAGATGGAACGCAGCTGGTTCTATCTCAAGCATTTTCAAGTTAGTTTAAAATTTATACATGGCCATGCTCTTATGTAGTTAGATAATTCAGTTTATGAAATATGCTCCAGGCATTAAGACTTGTTGATTGGTTACTGGCATTGAATCATAGAATGTTCCACACGAACTGAAATAATTTCAAAAGATGGTGGATAAAGCAGGAAGTTATTTACTGCCACCAAATCTATAATTATTTCGTTGTTATGACAGCCAAATCTTTAACCAAAGGAATTATAAGCATTTACCTTCGGTGTTAAAAAATTGCCAGCCAAGCAATTTACATTTTCAATTCTCTAAATATTTGAGGTATATAATATAAGTTCCCCATTATAGATAGTTTTGTAATGTGATATTTTACCGCGGAATTGTATTTTTAGGTCTACTTACCGTGTTCAGCTTATTTGGTCTTAAATTTTTTAATGTTAAACCGTGTTATATTTGAGTTATACTGTTAAAACTGCTTTGATTTTTGAAAATGTATCTAATCTTACATTTATCAAGAACATGAAAGAATGTGTCTTACACGTAAAAAGGGCTACAGCAGCTTAGTTGTAACGTTATCTTAAACAAGAAAACAGACGTACACGTACATCAGCCATGTTTCTTTCGTTTGATATACGTTATAAATAATCTCAAGTATCTACGTGTCATTATAACCCACCTTAGTATTATCTGAATAATGCACATATATTTATTGAATTACAATATACGAGAACACTTAGGGTACCAAAACAATAAAAAACAAAATTCAGTGTTGGTATTTGTAACAGAAAATATTAAATTCTACTAAAGTAAAGAAAAAAATAAAAAAATGATACAACCCCCCCCCCCCCAACAAAAAACAAAAAAAAAAAAAACAAAAAAAAAAAACAAACAAAACAACATAACTATAACTTACTGTATCTGCCTTATTAAATATACATTATTTTTTTAAAGTAATTTTGACTTGCAATTCTTACTATTTTGAAATGTTTGCTTTTCCATTGTCTCATAAAGTTATGTAATCATATAGTTAAAATTACAGACACATATATAGTAACAGAATAAAGAACATTTAAAATTCTAATTTTGTTCCTAAATCTTAATCTATTTATATACATTTCATATATTGCTTATATTGCATTATACAAACCTTAACTTTTGATTGACGTTCATTTTCCAAATCCAGTTCCAGTTCTTCAACTCTAGCCGATAAAGCTCTATTAGTCATGGTGGATGGCTTTTAAGGGAAGTTATCCGAACGAAATTATCGAAGACACAAATACACCCAATACTTTCAGCTAACTTTGTTCTAATAGTTCCTGGTAAATGCCCGAAAAGTGAAAATAAGTTGATCCTAATTCATATCGAAATAATTGTTAGGTAAATTTGAAGTTTATGCTGCCTAGAACTGTGCACCAGCTAGCTAGTATAAGAGAACCCACGCTCAATGATATGTGTGGTGTTAGTCATACTGCCAGCCAAAGTTTCTTAAAATACATTTCAAGTGAGTCAGCGAGAAAGGGAAAGGGGCGCACGTATTGTAATATGATCTATCTTTGTACGTTTTTTTAGAAGTCTGTATAAGTAATCAGGTTATATTTGTATTAAGACAGACGTAAGCACCAAAATAACTACATACACCTATATATACCTTGGTAAAATTAGATTATTTATAATTACATACCTACCATAATACGTAAGCAGGGATTGACAAGTATTTATATTATAACCAGTTACAGCAAAGGTTATTATTGTCCGTTGTTACAGTTTATAATATTTTACCGATTGCGGATTTTGCATTATACATGTAGACTTAATATTGATCAATTTTGAAAACAATGGCTGTTACAAATGAAAATATTTTAACTATTATGGCGAGAACTGTCAGCTCTTTATCTAATCTTACATAATGTATTTTACATAATATCTATCACCTATTGTCAAGTAGTGTTTCAGTTCACACCAGTAATTGACATAGATTACAGCTAGTTATTTAGTAATGGTTACTGCTTAATAATCGATAGGTATTCAACAGTAGATTACTATAATGATGACTTACATGTATATTAGCCATTGACAAATTAATGCATGAGTAAAATTGAATGTCATCCTAAACAGTATCAACTTAGCAGTTTTGTCCACTGAGTGACTGATAATCATTAGGTCTTGCCCCAGTATATATGCATAGCTTCTTCCGGTTCCCAAGTTCTCGCAGGAAAGCTTTCTAGTCTTACGCAAAACAATTTGCAACCCGGAATCCCCATACTTGTCAGTCTGTTTTTCAAGTTATTCTCCGTTATTGTTTCTTTCTTACAAATTATTCCCATATTACTTTGGTATTATTCCCTTTTAAAGTGCTTTTTTTTAAAGAAAAGATTATTATTCCCTGTTATTGATTTTTTAATGATTATTATTCCCTGTTATATATTTTTATATCCCCACATTTTTATGTGGACGCATATTATTGTCGTCGCCCATGTTCGTCCGTCCACAATTTATTTACTCTACAAGTTACAATTTCTATCTTATTTGGACGAAACTTGAAGCATAGGTTTATTGTTTTTGTAATATTCCCTTTTAATGTTTTTTTTTTTTAAATTATTATTCCCGGTTATTGATTTTTTAAAGATTATTATTCCCTGTTATTTTTTTTTTTATACGCTCACATTTTGATATAGACTTATTGTGCATATCGGACTGTAACTTCCTGGATTGTTGACCCACTAGAGGTCACAATTTCTTTCGAGGTCACAATTTTTATACGATTTAAACAAAATGTTTGAATTTATCACCGTTAGACCTTAATGGTGGTTGAGTTCGAATTTCGTAAAAATCACTTTCTGGATTATGGCCCTTGATTGGCTCGTTCGCTTTCCAACTCTTGCAAAATTGGAGCGTATCTTGCATGACAACCGCTGTTTTTTTTTTAAATCATTATTCCCTGTTATTGATTTTTTAAAATCTATTAATCCCTGTTTTCTAAAAAATGTATTATTCCCTGTTATCTTTTTTAAAATATTTATTATTGCCTGTTATTGCTTAGTATAATTATTATTCCCTGACATTGTTTTTTTTTATTCCCTGCTATTTTTTTTTGTCCCCCGCCTTTCGAAGAAAACATTGGACTATTAAAATGGATCTGTCCGCAAGCGTCCGTCTATTGCTTAGTATAATTATTATTCCCTGACATTGTTCTTTTTGTTCCCTGCTATTTTTTTTTTGTCCCCCGCCTTTCGATGTCCGTCACACTTTTTGGAACACGGTGACTTTCCTTCTAATTAAGCTTGAATGTTCAAATTTGGTGTAGGTTTGTATTAGGTGAATGCCTTGATGAAATGCAAATATGTGCATTTGCTGCTTATGGTAAGCAGAGAAATACAATTTGATTGGCTGATGCTTTAGTTCTAATTAAGTGAGAGTAATGAAACTTGGTGTATAGTTTCATTACATCAATACCTTGACTTAGTTCGATACTGAGCATTTTCTGCTCAGGGTAGGCAGAGCAATAAGCAATTTGGTTGGTCGAGACTTTGGAACAAAATAACTCTCCTACTAATTAAGGTAGAGTGTTCAAACTTCGTGTAGGCGTTCATTAGGTGAATGCCTTGATGAAGTGCGATGATGAACATTGTCTGCTTACGGTAAGCAGAGATAAGCAATTTGATTGGCTGATGCTTTTGGGCACGATAACTTTGGTTATAATTAAGTGAGAGCTAGGAAACTTCGAGTATAGATTCATTATATCATTACCTTGACTAAGTTTGATGAAAAATTGTTGCTTACGCCAATGAACGATAAGCAATTTGATTGGTCAAAACTTTGGAACATAACAACTCTGCTTTTATGTTGATGTTCATTAGGTGGATGTCTTGACCGAGATTAATGATTAAGATTTCCGGCTAAAGCTAAGCAAAGCTTAGCAATTTTTTTGACGTTGATTTTGTCTGATAGAGAGAGATGAAACTTAGTGTATAGTTGATAATCAGTTTGTTTGCTAGATACTTTTGGATAAGATAAACGTGCAATTAATTAATATGTGTCATCTATTTATTTCGGGATTTCGGCAGGGGACATCAGCCTCACTGTTGGCGTGTTTATTTTTTATCCTTTCCTTGTTACTCGTATTATTAAGTAAAATAAATTGTGAAAGCATATTACCACGGAAATAATGGGAAGTATATCAACTAATCCTATAATGAACTTGAATTCGATTTCCTGGCCATGGTTCCACAGTACACTAGGGTGATTTACGGATCTGTCATGCGGGGTCTTATTAATCATTGGCAAAACGATTCTGAACACCAGAGACACCCTATCTATGAAGTTTTCGAACGTTAATTACGTTCGCGACAAGAACCGACAAAAACGCCCTTCCCGGGCAACTATACGCTGTACCTTGACAGGCCCTCCCGATGAACTTTCTCGGCCAGCATGGGACTCCCAGGTTAGCAAGACAGAGACGTGGACCATTAATTAAAGGAACGACTTTTCATTTTTGTTTAGACACATTTACAACGAATCTAATACACAGACGTATGACTCATCAGCTATAGTGTAAGGGAGACGTTGTTTCGAAGATCTGTTACTCGTGTACATGTATATTTATGTAATAGGTAATGATTGATTACATTTACATGTATGTTTTGAAAACATCTATAAATGTACAAACAAAACCTCTTTCAGGGATTAGCAACGGGAAAACATTATGGAAGGGGATCGACGCCACATTAAAAGACATGTAAACACGAGTAGAAGTTACTATGTCAGCATATGAAAGTGTTGTTTTGATGATTTTTCCATGTTCGATTTTACAAAATAGAAAAGTATTGTCCACTAACGAAAAAACACATGTACAAATGCGCCTTGTAACGTTTGTATTTTCTACGTCTGATCTTTCAACTGTTGTAATTTCTACTAGTGCATAATCGACATATGTAACTTCGACATCGGTATTTTCTTCCAATGTAATTTCTCCACATGTCACATCCATCAAGGCGTGGTTCCGATTTTAGCCGAAGCTTGCGTCATAAAAACAAAACCTCCCTTCAAGTAGTCTCGGTCATCCAGACAATATGGCTCCTCCGCGATAGCTCCCTCGACTAACGGGCTTGGATGACCGAGGCTACCCTTCGAGGAAAGTCATTCCTACTACCAGAAAGTTGCATGGGGAGCATCAATAATTTTTAACGGAAGTTAACACTAACATATTGTTTTATGCTAAATTTTAATACAACTTTTAATAGTTTGCTTTCTTTGTTATTTTTATGTGTGTCTTGAATTCACCATTTCTGGTGTTCATGTCGTTAACATAATTTTGAATGCATAGTTATAGTTTCGAATAAAGAACCGCCCCTGTCGGCCCTGTCGTCTGCTCCACATTGGTGACATCGTTCAATCGTAGCCATGGACAATAATAATCAGGTATATTTATGTTTGAATATCTTCCACAAAAAACTTGTTCTTAGAGCACATAAGCGTACAAATATACTACATAAGTGACACAGGTCTTTCTTCTTTTTTTAGTTGTCAGATGGTAGCACTATCTACACTACAGTTCTACACTCGTTCAGTCGTTGAGTCGTTATAGTTTCACGCGTAGACGCCGTAGATACCATATGGTCAATGAAATGGGGTTTAACGTCCTATTTTGATGTATTTTTTGTATTGGCTAATGAAGACTGGCATATACCATGCAGGGTGCAATGAGGGAAATTTTGTCAGGACATCCATCAATAACTCGCCTAGCCCTAGCTAGACTATGTCTATGAAATGAATCACTAGGCCTACTACTACTAGTACTATCAGTATCTCTAACAATTTCCAACTGTCTGGGATTTTTAGCATGCGCCCTGTCCTGATGCAGCACACTGGACCTCGGTTTTTCGTCCCATCCAAACGACTAGGTGCTATTCTTGATATTCAAACATAAATATACCTGATTATTATTGTCCATGGCTACGTTTGAACGATGTCACCAATGTGGAGCAGCCGACAGGGGCGGTTCTTTATTCGAAACTATAACTATGCATTCAAAATTATGTTAACGACATGAACACCAGAAATGGTGAATTCAAGACACATAAAAATAACAAAGAAAGCAAACTATTAAAAGTTGTATTAAAATTTAGCATAAAACAATATGTTAGTGTTAACTTCCGTTAAAAAATTATTGATGCTCCCCATGCAACTTTCTGGTAGTAGTAATGACTTTCCTCGAAGGGTAGCCTCGGTCATCCAAGCCCGTTAGTCGAGGGAGCTATCGCGGAGGAGCCATATTGTCTGGATGACCGAGACTACTTGAAGGGAGGTTTTGTTTTTATGACGCAAGCTTCGGCTAAAATCGGAACCACGCCTTGATGGATGTGACATGTGGAGAAATTACATTGGAAGAAAATACCGATGTCGAAGTTACATATGTCGATTATGCACTAGTAGAAATTACAACAGTTGAAAGATCAGATGTAGA